ATCGCCGGTCTTCAAATCCCTCCCCCCACCCTACGATCGCCGGTCTTCAAATCGCTCCCCCAACCCTACGATCGTCGGTCTTCTTCTTCCAGCAGGTCTCACGTCGCCTTCTTCCAGCAGGTCTGTCGCCGCCGCTCGTCGCTGCCTCTCGTCGCCGTCTCCGATCGCCTTCCACAGCCTCCTTACTGCTGCATCCTCTCCTGTCTAGGGTTTGGTTTAGGGAATTTTTAGCATTTTTCTTTGAAAATTGATGGTGTTTATTGCTAATTTCATGTTTGTAACAATGTTAATGATGATTGGATTACCGACATTTTGCAATTTCTTGAGGATTTGATACTAATATGAAGAACAACATCTTTTCTATATATCCGTTTAGAATTGATTGTATTTCTTGAGGGTTAAAATGGTAATTTGTTGTAATTCTGAGAACAATTACCAAACAACCTTGTTTCATTCAKCACTTAACCATTCTGATCCTCTTAGCCATTCTAACCTCTTAACTATTCTGAACTAAATCATTCAGCAACTGCCAAACAGCCCCTAAATGTAATAATTAAACAGCTCTTGGGTTCAAAATCCAAGCAATCCAAAGTCCAAACAAATAAATATATAATACATATTAAAAAACAAACAAATTAACAAAGTTACAACTCCACAGTGAGTATTGAGTAACAAAATCCACGACTTTACAACCTTCAATTCTTGACCAAACAAAATAGAAGGCAAATCTTAGTTGGTTGAATCACTTGGTTAATGTCTTGATGATGTGCACCAAAATCAAACCATGGATTAGGAAAGATCGATAAATTGATAGAGTTTTTGAAGAATTTCAAAATTTGGAGACCGTCAATGTTAAATGTGTCGATATGTTTACTGGTTTAGGGATTTTTAGGCGCCGATTCATTTGGATTTGATTATGTTAGATGTTAGGCTTTATGTTGGGCTTAGTGATATATTTGGGTCATAGCCCATAAGTTAAAAAAGTTGAGCTTGTTAATACTAAAATAGATATATACAGATATATATATATATATATATATATATATAATCACACAATGAAGCGAGATACATCTCGATTTTAGTGTTCCCTTTTTTTTGTCTTAGTCGATGTTATAATACAGTTTTATGTGGTTTTGAGAAAGAGATAATGTTTTTATTTTTGAATAAAATATAAATATGAAGATATCATAAAACATAAAAAAATATTGATATTAGTACCAAACTAACTATTTAAAGTTTCTCGTTTTTTTGTGTATTTCTTTAACTCATTTTTATATTTTTGGTTTAATAATATAATTTTTTATAAAGATAATAATTAAGTATTTTGTTAGAACTTAATGATTATCTTAATTATATTTTAGGTTTTTTTATATTTAAAAATGAAATGTTTATCCTCTATTTAATTATATTTATCTGAAGTTAGTTACACGAATTCAAACATGAAGTTTTAATAAGTTGTACTTACAAACATTTTACTTGTAATCTTGAATTTTAAGTAATATGCATCAATAAACAGTACTTCATGCATAAAAAATGGTTTTCAAGAGTTTTTGTCAAATGTTTTATAATATAGTATAGATAGATAGATAGATATTTGGTGGTCCACTGGTCGGTTTGGTCCAAACCACCCAAAAAAGGTCAGACCGGACCGCCCGGTTTTCCTATTTTCCAAATCAAACCAAACAGCTAGACCGCTCAAACCGCCAAAAATGGTCCGGTTTGACTTGGTTCGGCCGGTTTGATCGGTCCAACGGTTTTTTTGAACACCCCTATTGTCACCCAAATAGTATGTTTGATGTTATCTTTAGTCTTTCGCAACCACCATATATTAACCCAAAAGGTAGAGTCACTAGTTCTTAGTTAACTCCTTAATCCATCTACACCTTCAATTCAAGGTGCATCTGCCTTAGAAATTGTTGAGAAGGGAGAAAAAGAGGCTTACAACACTTCTATACCATATTACCGTACAGAAAATTTGGCAAATCAATGATGCATCTCCACAACATAATGAGCAAATATAAATGCAACTTACGTGTATGAGGGATACGTTAATCCTGGTTGATAGCTGAAAGGAACCGGTTGTTGGTAGCCATAGTTTCCGAAATAAGGCCCACGAACAGCTGGCATACCACCAGCAAAAGGTGTTGGTGATCTGATATGTCCTACAACAAACAATCAAAGGTTTCTATCAACTTAAAAGACGGTGTGCAGATCATCTACATATTTCCATAGTTCAATTATGCTGAGGTTGAATAATGGTGGTGATATTACATACCAAACGGCAATGAATGCCGAGGCCTTCCAAGTGAGGCCAAGTTACAATTTGCTCGTCTACCATCAATAACTGGAGCTGAATCAACACATGCTCGCTTTGCAGATTCAGGGTCTCGGAAAGTCACCTAAACCCTCCATAGGAATATACGTTACAGATATCAAATCGATTTACTATAATCACTTATTAATAGGGAAAACATGTAATGGCAGCCAGAACAAGCTTGATATGCAAAAAGCCTCAAATCATAACCATTTTGTGATTTCTTGACAGCAAACTTCCTATTTCTGCCATATAGAGGTTTTCTACTAATAAATTCATCAAACAGAAGTTCAATTAACACTTCTTTCTAAACATCACTAGTTTATCTTGAACAATAGGAATTATGAACAGCCAATTGTATACATCCCAAAAAGGGTATCGAATGAAGGTAAATACTCACAAAACCGTAACCCTTGGATCGGCCAGTGTTCTTATCAGTGATGACAACAGCTTCCATAATCTCTCCAAACTGGTCAAAATATTGGCGCATAGTCTCACTCTGAGTCTCCCAAGCAAGTCCTCCAACAAAAACCTTTGTCAAAGTAGTATCCCCAAAAGGAGAGCTCATATGCTGAAACCCAGAACTCGAACTTGATCCTGAGCTTGGACCTGGTCGATCTGACGGCTGAAACGCCATGAATAAGACCTTCTCCTTTCTCTTTTCTACTTTATTTTTTATATATCAAATTTGATAAGGACAAAAGGTAAGAAATCCAAACAGAGAAAGGAGATTCTAAAGGGAACAAACAGTTAACTACAAGTACAAGTACCAAAGATACTATGCGATGAAGAAGCGAAAAGAAAGCCTGTACAAAAGTTGGGGAAATTCATTTGAATGATCAAGAAGCACAGAAATCAAGATGAGTACACCACCGAATGATCATGAAAGAAGGAAATAAAAATAGATAGATTGAAATGAGAAACGAACGAAAACCCTAGAATTCAGGTGAAAAGGAGGGGTGGGTGGAGCAATCAGCTGCACAATAATCAACAAACTGGTATCAAGCAGCGATGGTGGTGGGGTTATGCAGAAGAAATTAAAGGACTTTATGAGTATGAAACCTTTTACTTTCATAGGGTATCCAGGAACGAGAATCTTCCTTCATATCTTCTAAAAATTGAAATTATTTACACCAATACAAAAAAGGGTTCTCAAAGAAAATCGAATATATACAGAAAGAGCTAATGATTAGTATTTACATACAGAAATTAGTATAAAAATCGAAAGAATGAAGAAGAAGAAGATGATGATGATTTGACAGTGAAGAGAGAGAAGAGGAGTTGAAACGGAAGATGAAGGATTTACACAACAGTTGAGAGAGAGAGAGAGAGAGAGAAGAGAGATGAAATTCGAAATCGGCTTTTTTATACTCGTACCTAATCTTCTAATGTGATTCGTTGAAAAGCTTCGTGGATTCTTGATACTTCCATTCATCTTCCTCAATGTTCTTCAAGTTATTCTAAAACCACCCCTCAACTATCCATCAACACTCTTTCAGCTCCCAAACTCTCTCTTGCTTCAGCCTCCATAGATGGCAGCAGGACAAGTTTTTGTAAGACCCCATCTTACCCTGTCCCAACAATTTGTAAGAGATGAATCTTGTGAATCCAAGCATGGTCTTATTTCGGTATTTAAATATATTTTTATTAAATTATATGATTAAATTAAAAAATATGATTCTTACAAAACATAAAACACTTAAATAGCAATATAGGGCTTAATCAATGTAGTTTATGATAACTGTGATGTTCAATATAAACAAATCATTTAAGATAGTTTTTAGAGTGAAATTCACTTTTGGTCCCTAATGTTTGTCGATTCCAATGGTTTTCGTTCCTCAACTTTATTTTAATAGATTTGTCCATCATGTGTTGACACCTCACAATGATTTTCGTCCCTCATCTTAACGGTTGTTAACTTTTTTTCGTTAAATCCAATTAAATGGGGGGTATTTTAGTCATTTTACCTTCGTCACCCACCTTCGTCTTCTTCGATCATCCGGTCATCTTCGTATCTCCGATCACCACAAAACATAAAACACAAACACACACCAAAAACTCAACAACAAACCCAAATATAAACCTCAAAGTCAAAATCAAACCTAGATCCATAGCCAACCTTTAAAATGAAAATCAAACCTAAATCCAAACTTCAAAATCAAGTCAAACCCACATTCAATATAAAAAACTTAAAATCAAACCCAAACCCTAACCTTAATCACAAAAACTCAAATCAAAATCAAACCAAAATAGAAGTTGATTACGTTCTCATAGGCAAAATCAAGTTCCAAGGTGTAGAAATCGAGTTCCATGTCTAATTAAATTGGGATTATGCGTTTAGTTTTGATTTTAGGGTTTGCGTGTAATATAATTGTAACAAAGTGGTATCACTTTGGGTATCAAGTACACCTTGTATGTATTTTGGGTATCACGGTGAGAGTCATAGTTTGTATGTATCTTTTTTTTAACAGTGTCGATGTTTTTAGGTATATCATTGTGTATCTTGTATTCACTTGGTGTTCGCTGGAATAAGGTTCACTAGAGGTTGGAGGTCGGAGGTCAGAGAGAGGGGAGAAGAGATTTTACAATATCTAAAATGTATCTTTAATTCAAAATTACCAAAATTATTAATTACTTAATTTATCCATAGATTTGTGGTTGAGATTGGATATCACAGTTATCACAAACAATTAAGTTCTCACTTGAATGACCCCTATAGCAATATTATTTATAGTTGATATTACTTGGTGTCATTAATCTAGGTTTGCATGTGGGATTCGAGGTGTTCATTAAAACCATATATATCACCTCCACCACATCAAATCATCCGGTTTTGAACAATCTATGTTTATAACCATATCAAATCGTGTTATGTGGTTCAGTTTGTAATTTGAACTACAAACCCACGATCCAAACCACATAACAACGATATTAAGTTATATATACCAAAAATGATATTTATAATCTAAAAAATAAGCATAAGTCCATGATGGAGTCAAATTATTTGTTTAGGAGCGTATTTGGATGTTGAATAAGATCGGTGGGACTTATAAATTTGACGAAAGATGGAGCATGGGTGTTTGTTTTAAGCAATTTTGTTTTTATATATTTGTTTAGGAGCGTATTTGGATTTAATATATTGGAGGTTGGATAAGTAAGTAATCAATAGATGAGGGGTAGGATTGGGTGAATTGGGATAGTGAAGGGGGGTTTAATGAAAATAAGGGATGAAATTGGTTGGTAATTCTTACTACAAAGAAGATGAATACAGCTTGGACGGGGTCCTAAAGTTGTGGCCCACCTTCTTAAATCAATTTTTTTTTTTATCAAATTAAATTTTATTTTATTAATCAGTTTTATCCATAAAATAACTAATTTATCAAAACATAACAATGAAAAAACATTTGATTAACTAAAACAACATTTAATATATCTTCAAACAATAATGTAACCTATGTTAATTAACATTTTTTGGATACCAAAATATTAAACATTATAATTTCTTTGCTTCATTCTTTTAAATTATTTGAATCTTAATTAATGTTCAAAAAACAATTTAGTATGACGATGAGAGTTGGTCTGCTGTGGTCCCATGTTGTGTTTGGATGTAGCTAAGTTTGATTCAAGTTAATCACAATCGATCCACGCTCCATTAGAATTGCGACTAATATTTTGGTCCTTAGCAGAGGTGCAATCAGGTTAGATTGACTGGTTTGAAGGCGTTCGAAAATTCCAATAACGGTTTGAATAATTTCAACTTGTTGAAAACATTTTAAAAGTATGACTTAACCCAAATCATTTGCCACTTTGTCAAAATCCTAAATAATTAGGGATTATGGCTTTCGGTTTGTTGTTTGTTAAATAAATTGTTGCTTAATTGGAAGATCAATCAACAATGTAAAAATAATGACTACATATAATCTAAAACCTAATTACATCAAAGCTTAGAGTTCAACAAATGTTGGATTAAGCAACTAACTACTTAATGAAACGAGAAATTGTCAAAGGAATGTAGAATAATAGTAAAAGTAAGTAATCCAAATCCTTCTCCTCCAAAGTCGTTCCTAGTATTCGATCCCCCTAAAAACAGTTGCTCATGAGCTTTTATACTAAGGGGGAACCTAAATTATCGAATTCGGGGGTAAGAAGGCTCGAATTGGATGCACAAAGGTGTTTCGTGACCTCACCCGCAACATAGGGTCGCACGTGTCTAAGCCTTCAAAGTCATGAGAAATTTCCTTGACCTATCCAAGTCCCAGGTTAAGTCACGTATAGAAAATAGAGACTTACAAGCCCTTTCACGCCACTCAAGTTCCCGTTCCAAGCTGTGTGCGGATCATTGTTTTAACTGAAATTTCATCACTTTCACATCTAAACATCAAACAAATTAAACATGGGTTTAAGGAATGCATATTACGCATGAAAAGTGTCATAAAATGAGGGATTTTGAGTAGGAAAGCGTGTGTAATTATGCAGTTATCAGTTGTGTTCGATTGGTCTTGTTTGGTTGAAATTCTAAATGTCCTTTAAAAAAAATAGTCATTGTTAACCTCCCATAAACATAAACTAGATATTACAACAATTGATTCAATAAATACCACTTGTAAAAATTACTTCACCACAATCCTACCCCGCTTTTCTTTTATCAAGTTAGCGACATGAAGTTGGGTTGTTGGAGACCTAAAACCGCAAATCCCTAATCGGTGATAATTAAGGCTTCGAGTTATTCAGGTTGGATTGGGTTTCCTTGGGTCTAACGCACTCCAACCCATCAGGTCTTATCGGATTGGGTTTGAGTTGAAGTTGTTAATTTTTTTGGGTTATTTTACAACCCTATTACTTAGGGTGTGTTTGGTTGGGGGCATTAAAAGGTAAGAATGGAAATGATAATCATTGATTGTATTTGGTTCAATTAAGGAATGAAAAATGATGGTTGGTTTCAAAAAACTAATTAGTCATTATAATAGATTTGGTTAAAAATCATTCCTCCTCAATTTGGAGGGAATAGAAATTTTTTCTTTTCATCTGCTTCTCACTCCTTCTCCTCTACCAAGATGTGCACTGAAAAGATGATATAATACGATGGATTAAGTGGCTATCAAGTTTCTTTTTGGTTTTCTTTACTATAAATTAATTTTAAGGAGTCCCTAATAATATAATAGAATGGAAAGAAAATGATGATTCTCAGTCTATCCTATTTTAATTACCAATCAATTTTCATTCCTTAAAGCGAACCAAACATCCCTTTAGTAATTTTAAAAGTTGATTCCATTTTAATGCAATTTTTCTTTAAATTTATGTATAAATATAAAAAGTGAATGAGGTTTTCATAAAAAAAAAAACTTGTATTTTGAAGATATAATCCTTATTGTATTTAGATGGGGATGATATGATAGGAAAATAAAGTTTTTATAGATTTCAAGTAATATTGAAAGCTTACTAAAATCTACCATTTTTGTTGTCTGAATTAATTGATTACTAATAGTTAAAAAATAACTATTATTAAAATTAATTAATATTCCATGTTACGAAAACTTATTAATATAAAATATATACCTTTATTTTTTTAATAATAATTTAATCAACATATTATATATATTTTTTAATTTAATACAAAAACATTATATTTTTATTGTCATTGACACATTTTATATTATTTAATCTTCTTTATTTTTCAGGATATATAAATATATGTAGATATAATTATTTGTCAATCAGTATTAATTTTACAAATTCATATAAACCATTCAATTTTATGATCAACATCTATGGTTAATTTGAAGATTGTAAATTAATGAAAAGATAAGTAAATGATGAGAACAAATTCTCAATTATTATTTTTGAAGTTAATTCTTAAGTTAAAGTTAAATTGTGTAATGCTCGAGACTAAAAACAAAAAGAATTGTCCGACCTTTATCCCTTAAATTCAGTTTTAATTTCATTTATCTCTTAAATTAAATTATTTTTCGTTCGTATATGAACTTTGGTTGTTCCCCATAGTTAATAGGAATAAATGAGATAATTAAGGTGGTCTAAACAAAATTCATGTATGAACTTTGGTACTTTCAAATTTAATACTAAAGTTATCAAGAAAATGAATGGGATAATACAAGTTTAAATAAGAGTTTATAGGTAAAACCAAAAAGTTCATATGTGAAACAATGATTTTTGTTTAAAGTTTATCACTATGTTGTTTTAAAATTGTAAGTGAATGATATAATTAAAAAATTTGTGACAATAAGAGGTCGTTTACCCCGTAAGCGTTTAACGATAAATTTCAACTCTATCTTTTTCTTATCGGATAAGATTTTAGTCTACCAAAACGACAACGTATGTAACAATTTACTTGGTAAGCTCTAACCGTGGCAAGAGTCGTCGCCATCACTTACCGGGTAAGACTGTTTGTGTCTTCGCTCTTACCTAGTAAGATTCTTAGTCCTTGTCATATTCGTTCGGTAAGAGAATATGAGACTTGATAAGCGCTTACCCGAGTAAGCATTTGGTAAACGGCCCCTAAATGAATTAAATAATTAAGAAATTGAGATAAAAAAATGTGGTATTAATATGAAAAAGACAAAAATATCCCGGTTAACATAATTTTTACTTATCAAGAGGTTAACAAAAGAACTTGTGTGTGTGTATATACATAACATATATAGGAGAAAGTTCAGATGAGATTCCCAAAAATTGGAGAAAACAATAAAATATCTCAAGATAAGATTTTTTCAATAACCAAGATCATGAAAGAAATACATAAAACATTACGACTAATTCAAAGAAAAAAAAAATTTAAAACTTTTTGTATGATTAAATTAGTAATCCACTGCTTTTTCAAAAAAAATTACCCACTTTAATTTTTAAATAATAACAAGATTACCTATTTTTAAAAATTATAATAGTATTTTATTTAAATAAATAACACCAAAAAAAATTCATTATCTTTTATTTAAGATACATGATAATATATTTATTTTTAAGGTTTGCAAAAGATTACTCCTCTCTCTCTCTCTCTCTCTCTCTCTATACTATATTATAAAGTATTTGGCTAAAACTCTTAAAACTCTTAAACCCGTTCATCTCTATCCGATTTCATTCCATATTTGAATTCGTGTAACTAACTGCAGATAAACACAATCAAATACAGGATAAACATCTCATTTTAAATAAAAAAATCTAAAATATAATTAGTATAATCATTAAATTCTAATAGAATACTTAATTATTATCTTTATAAAATTTATAATATTAAACCAAAATAAATTGTTTTATTATTAAACTTAAATTAAATTATCTATCTATACTATATATAAAGCATTTGGCTCATTTTCTTAAAAACAAATTATCATGCATAAGGTACAATTAATTTGTGCACATTACTTAAAAATAAAAAATACAAGTTAATTATGCATACGTACATGTTTTTAAAGCATACCACTCCCATTGAAATCTTAATTCGTCCCTACAATTTCTCTAATCCAACTAACGTCCCTATAATCTCTTTTTTTCAACTCTAATCCAACTAACGTCCCTATAATCTCTCTTTTTCAACAAGTAGATAGTCATTGTCAATTTCATATTTAATGGGTGGTTTTGACTCAATTTTTCTTATAATCACCATCAATTTCCCTTCCCCAAAGCTCGGTTGATTCTCTTTCAAGGTAAGCTTCAACCTCATGGGTTTCGACTAGGGGTGTAAATGAGACGAGACAACTCGCGAGCTACTCGAAATCGACTCGGTCAACACTCGGTCAACACTCGACTCGAATAAGTTCGACTCGAACTCGAGCTCGACTCGACATACTAACGAGTCGAGCCGAGCTATCTGATACTCGACTCGATAGGCTCGTGAGATACTCGAATATATTTTTTATATAATTAATTATATAATTATATGATATTCTAAAGCCCAATGTGTATATATATATACATGTTCAGTTTTTATTTTGGGCCTAAAAAAGATAGTACCATGCCTTAGTCTTAGTCCATTGATCAGCCTTAGTCCATTGATCAGCCTTAGTCCATTGATCCATTCCACTTAGTCACTTACCCTAAGTCCCTCCCTAACCTCGCTCTCGCTCTCGCAAGTCGCAAGACGCAACAGAAATCGACGCTCCCTCCCTCCTCCCTCGCTCTCGCCGGTCGCTCTCCCTCACTCCTCCCTCGCTCTCGCCGGTCGCTCTCCATCTGCGGCTGCCTCTCGTCGCCGGTCGCTCTCC